AATAAATTTACAAAATATTAAACAAGATCTTTTATTTATTTTCTGGTGCTTTTCTACAAGCAAATTTTTATTTATATTATATATATATATATATATATATATATATATACATGGTGGTAACCTCATCTCGCTCTTCTAGAGTTTGTACAATACAAGGACGTGTGTCTTTATTTTCGTTTGGTATATGCGAGTTTGAAAGTGACATTTGAAATTTCTAGGGCACATAATGCGGTAAAGGGACATAGAAAATTCGACCACGACCGAAGATAAGAAGGACTGAGGAAAGCAGCGCATAATCTATTTAAAGAGGCTGTGGAAATGGTCGGCAGAATAGCGATTAAGAGAGATGGCGGAAAGGCAAAATTTACTTAGAGCTACAAAGGACAGGAATTGTGGAGAACCATGATCGACTACGTCCTTAAAGGACACGGCACATAGAAGAAGACACGTGAGTTTTACATTCATACTCTAATTCTCATCTTCACAATCACTTTTATATTCTTTTTAATTATTATTATTTTAATCTTATAGAATTCCACTCGCATTTGCAAACCATTCTCCCTTCGCTATTAATAGCATTAAGATAATTTCCATCGGACGTATTTTTTTTTTACGCTTATCAGTGGGCCAGTAAATAACAAAAAACTACTTTTTTATCAACTCAAACAAGAATACGCAATGATGTCGATATAAGATTTGTTTTATTTTTTCTTAATGTTAAAAACTCGATCATCACTTGTAATGACCAGTTCTATTATAAACCATATAAACGTAACAATTCATACCAATACATTTTTCACGCGATGAAATTACTAGCCTCATACCAAACCGGTTTTGAATAAAAAATTGTCATTTTCCTAGACTAGTTGCTAATCAAGAGCAAAGAGTCTCGTCTGTACTACTATTCAGCTAATAACTAACTGGGAACTGAATTAATATCATTAATATCTCATCACCCGCCTTTCTACACCTATATCCACATTTCAACCTATGTCTCGTCAAACTCTGACGATTAGCGACTTCTTTTTCCAAGGTTGAAATCTCAGTGACCGAGATTAACGAGAAAACTACCAGTCATCATACAGGATTTGGAAAGAAGACATTGCGGATTGTTCTGGAAAAAAAAAAGAAACAGTGGGTCGTGTGTAGCCAAAGAAGGGATGCAGACTATTTCTGTCGGAAAAAAGATCAGGATACTCACCAATATGTGATCATTTAATGGGCTGAAGTACCGACAGCGCGGGTGTTTTTATCGCGTACTCACTAAATTTCTACGTAGTTAAAAGGTCAGTATTTAAATCTTCGCATCGTAGCGATAATATATGTAACTTGATTATTCACATAATATACAAATTACGACCGTTCAAAACGTAGACGATAACGGCTCTCCACAAGTTCCCATCCTTTGTAGCTCTTAGCAGTGTTTATCTGTTCGCAATCCCTTTTACTGCCTGTTCTGCCATTCATTGATGCAAGCTCGTTTAGCAGGGTATTCACTGTCTCCCTCTCTTTCACTTTATTTCAATATCTCCTGTGAGTGCCAAATTCTCTAATCCTTCTTTGCTTATTATACACTCTAGAAATTTGAACTTACTGAGTCTAGAGTCTGTCTATATTTCTGAGATGAGGTATTATGTACATTATTTACATTATTTGGACTATTGTCCTCATCCTTGTCGCCATATTTATTACAACGTTTCCGTCGTTGTACGCTCCGGCCTTCTTCAGGTTGGAATTTCGAACTGAACCCTTTATTTCGCTTACTGGAGTAGACTGTTCTACGTTCCATGTTTGATGGGTGTCAGTTATTAGTTAACTCCTGCTAATTTCCCTGAAAGTTCTCCACTGCCTTTACCAGGTATTGAACTCACACACTTTGGGTCCTGTCACTGGATCTAACCAACCTCTTTATCCACAGTGCCATGTGGACATCTGGGTATGAATTTTTGGGTATTATAAACCTTAAGTCTTCAGTAACCATTTTTACCAGTGCTCATATTGCAATTTTTCTGTAATCAATCCATATTTTTACCAGAGCTCATATTGCAACTTTTGTTGTTATCATTGCTTTTCTCTGGCACTCCTTATTATTAGTTCCCATATTGTATTTATTTCTATGCTTGGTCGGCTCAGGAGATTTTTGTGGCCTAGCATATGTGCTGATTCCTTAAGTTTACGAATTTTCCAATGATGTTCTTTGTCTATGATCTCAACCTGATCCCACAGAGGGCGGTGATCTCCCTTCTCTCTCCATATGTGGACAGCCACGCCTGATTTTTCTACTTCCCCTCGTGTTACAGCTTTCTGGTGTTCTTGAAGCCTTACCTTGAGGGGGCGGCCTGTCTCTCCTTTATCTTCCTTTCCTGAGTCTAATTATAAGCCTCTCTTTTTGTTTCCATTTCTCTCAATACTTCCAAATTCCTCACATCTTCTGTCCATAGTATTCTCAGTATCCTTCTATAGAACCATATTACTGTTGCTTCCCGTTCTCTTCTCCATATATTAGGATATTGCTCAGCATTCATTAAAACATAGCAAGTCTGATACTGCATGAGAGTCGAGCGCTCTTTTCTTTGGTTTTAAAGAAATTTTCCTCTTTCTTAATACTTAGATTTTGGAAGGCATCTTTAGCTATCACAATGCGCTTTTCTTTTTCCTTTTTTTTTGGTGTCACATTTTTTCGTCCTCTATTAAAACGCTTCTCAGATATCTAAATTAACAAGTTGTTTCATTCAGTCAGATGTAATCTCTCAATATTTTTAAAACGATAATCTATGGGTCATCTCAAGATGGACAACCATTACTGCTAATAATCGATTGTTGCGCGTTATGGCAAGTTATTTTATAACTAGAAATCCATTTCCTCTATTTCAGCTATACTTTTCTTCTTCTTCTTCTTCTTCTTCTTCTTCTTCTTCTTCTTCTTCTTCTTCTTCTATGTGTGTGTCCCTTTAACATGCTGGCGATCATGACTCACCGCAATTTCCTGTCATTTGTCGCTTTTAATACATTTTGTCTTTGTGTCATCTCTCCTCTTCTGCCATTCTAGCTTCGTAGCTTACGCGTTGTTTTCTCTGCCCCTCTTGTTTGTGAGTATCAACATTCCCAAGCCTTCTTTCCTCATTATGTGTCGTAAAATTTTCAACTATCACTTTCTGATGTCAAGTATAAGGATCCTTTTTGTTTCAATTTTCTCTTGGCTCCGGGGTATGGCTCCGGGGCCAACAGTCTAACTGCTTTCGAGCGGAGAGGAACCCGGACGAAGCTTCGCCGAAGGGCAGTCTCTCGTTCGGGGTGGTTGACTACCCCTGAACCCGTTTATGCGGGTTCAAAGAGAGAATATTTTTGGCCGAGCCTACGGGCTCGGAAATCCCACGTTAAACCCGTGCCATATGTAACCCTCGGTGGGGGGGGTAGCTAAATATCATTTTCTCTAAAACTTCATTGTTGTTCACATGTTCAGTCCATAGTATTTTCAGCATCCTTCTCATTTCTCTCGCTTCAAGCCTCTTCTTCATCAGTGAGAAGATTGTCCAGCATTCACTGCCATATGGGAGAACTGATATTACGCGGCAGTTCAATACTCTTTTCTTTGTTTTTAACGAAATTTTCTTGTTCCTTAATACTTTACTTAGCTTTTGGGATGTTTCTTTCGCTATCCCAATGCGCTGGGTTTGAGTGTCGTATTTTGCGTCCACACTTAAAACCCATCCCAGATATTAATATTAATATTAATAGCCATAATTCCATTACTAGCATTTGAGTACAGTACGTAGTGTTTCTTTTATACTTTTGTAGATTTCCTTCCTAACTTTGCCACATCTTTTATTCGATTGGCCTCTTCAGGTTTTAGATATTTATTGGCTTTATCTAGCTCACCCCTTTATATTGAAGTACATACTTTTTTATTGTTAAAAATGGCTTCACGTGAATGAAACCCGTACGTCTTAGTAAGGACCATCCTTTTTCGAATCTTGTGAATTTGGGCTAAAGTATCAAAAAGAAATGTACCAAATAACAAAAAAAAACACATCAGTTGAGGACCTTCAACAGCAGCAACAACTAAAATGGATAGAACAGGTATCTCTAAGAGAATATGATGACATAATCAAGATGTTGAGTTTTTTGGGATTCACTCAGAAATTAATTTTGTGTTCACGGGGATAAAAGAATACTTAATAGAAAATAAAACGTACTTAAAATAACAGGAAAGCATGATAAATTGTATGTTAATTTCATACAATTTCATGGTACATGTGATAAATGGGAAAAATTACAAGCCATATTAAAGACAGAAGTTGGACATGTGTTGCCCTTACCAACGTTCATGCTGAAGAGACTGAATTTAACGTCTTTTGACGGAATGTCCGTATTTCCGACAGGAACAGTTTTTTGTTGCATGCTGGGTGTATTTTTTTTATTTAATTTATTTTATAACATTTTTAATGTTATTATTTTATTTTATTTTATTCATAATTTTCTTTATTATTATTATTATTATTATTATTATTATTATTTTATATATTGTTTATTTATAATAATAATATTCCTGCAGGTTCTACACTAATTCAAACAAAAGATTAGGAAAGTCACTCCCATCAACTGTCGAGCAAATATGTGGGTACTGAATACGATATTTGTTTTAACGCGTTGGCCGTCTTAATTCACCAAGAAAAATTGTTTATGTTAAAATCTCAGTTAAGATCAGAAGATAGGAGAGCAATGCCTAGTGTAGCATCAGGACATTTATAATAATAATGATAATAATTAATAGTAGTAGTTGTAATAATAACAACAGTAGTTACAATAGTTGCAGTAGCAGTAGTAATAGCCGCGAAAATTTTCCTACTTAAATTTTCTAATGAATATTAATTCTTCAGTTAATAATTAAATAAGGTCATATCGAGTTCTACGGCAATAAAATATCTATGGAAATTCTCCTTCCGCATAGTTAGATATGTGAACGTAATAACTTTAACAAAAACATTACAATAATAATTATGTTATTATCATTCTTCTTCTTTCTTTCTTTCTCTCCCCTCCCTCTCCCTCTCTCTCTCTCTCTCTCTCTCTCTCTCTCTCTCTCTCTTAGTTCTTGACATACGACCCTCATTCATATTCATGTTTTAAGATGGTACAAATGAAAATATTTGAAATTGACAACTTTTTCCATTTCAATGAAACAGGCGCTAAACAGTTCTTTTTTCTTTCTTTCTTTCATTTTCTCACTACGTAACATCTCTGATACGTCTTTTCACGCGATCAAAAGAGAATAGTGAATAATTTATTAGGTATTGACAAGGTGTAACGGTCTTGCTAACTAGGATAGGGACAATCAAAATTATAATAAAATTATTATTATTATTATTATACATGAATCTCGCCTTTAAAAACATGTTGTTTTTTTTATTCTAAATGCATTCATGATTGCGGTTTTATATTCAGAAAACTAAATTCTTATTCAAACTATTACCTCTATAATACAACTAGGCACAAACAGCTCAGCTTACTTTAGGGTTATTGTGGTAGTTACAATATCTGGGGAAAGTACATGCAATTCAAGAAAAGGCCAAAAGCCTAAACGATTCATTTTCTCTTCAGGGTGTCGATTTTTAACACACTGACATTTGTGGCGACTGTTGAATATATTCCGATGCAAAACAGATGTTTTCAAAAGACCCATTTCCAGCTAAAAATGTGAATATTCATACATTAATTTTATGATTCAATGGGTTTTTATTTTAAATTTCCAAATCCCTGAGAAGTATCACGGCGCACCTATTCATGATACTAAAAGCAGTGACAAACAAAATTTACATATTTTCACATATGTAAATGGCGGGTGTAACGAAACAGAATAAATTACAAGGCGATTTTTTTTTTAATTGATTTTGCACAAAACAAAGCAGTAAAGCGACTGAGACACTATGGTTACTGGGTGTGAGAGAGTTAAAAACAGAAACATTGCTAAGGAACGAAACGAAAAGGAAAGTAATTAGGAGGGAAGTAGATAGCAATTAACATTGCCTTTAAATTTTTGAAGATTAAAGATGGCTGGAAAGCACAGAGCTGGAAGAGAGTTCCACAAGAGAGAAGTGCGAGAAAAGAAACTGTTAACACAGAATTTACGGTTATATCTAACCAATTCAAATGTGGATTGATTAAACTTCGTTGCCAGGCTAGTACTGAGCTTAAAGTAATAGTGTAGGCACCATAGCGAGGAGCTTATCCGAACAATTACCATGAAAGTATTTATAGAAAAGGCACAGGGAGGCAACCTTACGGCAGTAGGAAGGAGAGTGAAGCCGATACACCAAAACATGGCCAATAATATTGCTGATTTTCTTTAGATAATGTTTGTGCTTTTATATAACTGAAAGTGAAAATGCATTATTATTTATGCAAAAGGAAGAAAACATTAAAAGTTAGGAATGTGTGTGTGGGGGTGGGTATAATTACGGTCACCCGGGGAAATATATCCGCATGCCCGGTGGGTGGCGTCGCTACAGCATGCTCGGAGGAAAAGAGAGATTAGAGAGCGAGGACAGGAATTTGTCTATTTTATACTTGCTTAAAAGCGCGACAATGTATAAACAAAATGCGACGTTTAAGAAATTCGGTCGGTTTAAAATCTGCTTCAAGGCCTAAACAATACACTATACAATGAAGCAGATACCCAAGAGAAGACGATACGAATTCAAATTGCGTCAGAAGTTAATTCTTTACTGTTTTTTTTTTGTTGTTGTTGTTTTTTTTACAATGATGTTCACTCTGTATAGGACCCAAAAGCCACTGGAAGTAGTGGGATACGGAGTAACATGTACAGATTATGGGGATGCACGGGAAAGATATCAATTAATTAGACTTGAAAAGGTTAATTTTATAGTCATTGGGGAAGCATCCTTTTGGAATGCTTCCCCAATCACTATAAAATTGTTCTTTTGGGAGTCGAATCCATTCCGCTTGCTTAACAGACGTAGGCGACAGGATGTCTATACAGTATTTCCTCGATATTCGAACTTCGATTACCCTGGCGTGTAATGAACATTGATGGTAATATTTTTTGATTGACGAGACATAAATTTGTTGATAAAGCATGAGACGTATTTACATCCTTTTAAAACTGTAGTGCATTTCTAGTATCAAATAAGTACATGCATGATGGCCGTCCCTTCATTTCCAAGTACAGGATTTCTTCGATTCTCCGTACATTGACTTTCCGGACTTTTATACTGCATTTATGCGAAACAGATCTTAGTTACAATTTCTGGGAAAGACAAGTACAGTCTGGCTTGATCAGTAGTTGAACACGACCAGTACATCCAAACTCTCACACAACAATCGACAGCTTCTGAACAGCTCCTTCCGCCCAATGTCACTCACAAGGCTTGGATCAACCCATGGTAGGATTTTCAGGTACCTCCAAACCGGAAAGTATACATACATACATACATTCATACATATATAGTATTTCCTCAATTCGTGGGTAACATTTTTGGACTGACAATGTAGATCGGTATGTGCTTTTACTTTTCTATACGACTCTCGTATTATTACGTTTTCAAATTGAAATAGCCATGAAAAAAAAAAACAATACAAAAAAAGTGTACTGTTATCTGTTGAGGAGAAAGTAGAGTTTTGTGACTTGGCGAAAGAAAATTCCAAAAACTTAGACCATGGTGAAATACAGAGAATCCGCAGTCAGCGATACTTTGAAAAGCGAACAGGAAAATGTAAAATAAGACGAGGAGGATAATATTACCCATGTTAAAATTCAACGACCGTCCCGCATTGCCCAATTTCAAATACCGAATCAATGATAATGGCTGACAAATGTTTAAGTTGATTTCCTTTTCAACCAGAAGCTACCTTTACAAATACATCTAATTTAATAACAGTTTTGGGATTTAGAATTAGAATTCCTTCCATACATTTGCAAGTGTATTTAAAAATGCATAGCTATTCTCTTTCCAGGCGGATCAACTTTTATTTCCGTTCTACGTCCCGCCTTTAAAAACACAGCTGATTTACTCTAAATGCACTCTGGATTCTGTTTTTATGTTCTTTCCTTTATCTGACTAAATTCTTATTCAAACTATTACGTCTATCATACCACAAAGCACAAACAGCTCAGCTGATTTTTATAGTGGGGAAAACACATGCAATTCAAGATAAGGTCAAAAGACTGGGCGATTTGTACGCTATGTCGCCATTTTTAACATTTGTAGCGTCTGTCGTATTTAGGAAGCTGAAATATTCCGAAACAAAACTGATTTTTCCAAATGACTCATGGAAAACAAATATAAAAGCATGGTATTTCGTATTTCTTCTATAGAGTTTAACACTAAAAGTGCGAATATTCATACATTAATTTATCTTTATAAATACATCTACTTTAATAACAGCTTCGGGAGTTGATAAGGAAACATTAAAATTGACGTATTTTTTTTCTTTTTCATAAAAATAAACTGGACGAAATATTTGACAAAGTTTTTGATATTTTTATTTTAAGATATAAATTAAATTTATTTCAGAAAATGACTTTTTTCATCATTCTTTTTCGATAATTTCTGTATCCGGTATTTTGAATTATCCAAACATATTTATTCGTCCTGGTACCAAGGTATCTGGATAATTGAATATATACTGCATTTATAAATTAAAAGCAAAAGAAATATACCAAATAATATATATTGAAAAATTTGTATTAATAATTGAAACTTTTTGTTTCATGTTTGATCACGAATTCTTGAACGCATTTAAGGATAGTAGAGGATATGTCTATAGCAAATTAGCTAAACTTGAGCCATCCATTTTCGGACGGGTTATGAATTCAAAACTGCCCTTCTCCAGGACTGGTTGCCTCATATCACGAGTAAAGAGCCTATTGTGTTCTGTTATTTAATATATATATAGAAGACGCATTCATGCCTTTTCCGAGGGCATTAGTGAATGAAATAGACTCGGGATGTAGTTATAATTTCTGGCAGAGAGCGCATAATAGACAGTTTGAACAAGGTTAGTATTCTTACACTCTCGGTCACGATGACTTCCGACCAGATCCGTCTGTCAAATTTCCCTCAAAATGTTTGGGTCATCCATTCACAGACACTTTCCAAATTCGGCGCCTCCCAGATTGATGATATCAAGAAGTTACCTTCGTGTCAAATCGACTATTGTGAGATTCGAACACTTGTCTTATAGAATGAACGAGCTGTTCTAGTCCCACGGCCACACGCACACAAATCTTCCATCTTGAACACTGAAAGTTAAGCATTCTTATCTTTCCTCTATTTTAATAACCTGCTTCGGTTCTAAAAGACATCATTGGCTTTTTCTATGACCCTTTGGATTGCCGTGTCGTATTATCCTTTGTCTATACTACAAGAACAAGATTGTTAAATTTCTCGATCTGGTTGATTTCCAATAGGAAGCTCATTCAGTGTTTGTGCTTTTGCTGATAACCATGCATTGTGTCTTTTTACAGTTAAAAGTCGTTTTTTTTTATTTCTTTTACTAGCTCATCTAAGTGTTTTCCTTCCAAGTCAACACATTGACGTCTGCGTAGTTTATGTTGTTAAGTGTATGTCCTTCGATATTAACTCTTGGTAGGTTATCTTGTTCTCTTAGGATTGTCGCGCTGTACAGGTTAAATAAATCCCCTAAGGAAAATAATCCTCGTTTATTTGTCTTTCCATTCTTGCGCAGTCGATCTCTATCCAAATACAGACTACTTGTCCGGTATTCCTTTCGGCCATATTATATGTCTAAATCTTGTCTCTTTTTTTTTATGTGCATAAGCATAAATACTGTATTGTATCATTTGATTTGTCCAGTACTGGTTCAAATGCAGTTTACCTAAACTCAGGTTTCAGGGTCAAGTATATGGATTATCTGATACCACAGGCCCTCAGTAAAAAGAAACTGTTCATCCACTTGATCTACGGTATTATTTACGTATATTAAAAGGAAAAATATATATATAATAAATGTGAATTGGGGAAAATATATATGACAAAGTGGAAAAAGTTTTCTTGCAATGCGTTTCATTCTTTTTTATGTTGATACTTTAATCACATTATATACTTAAA